TCTTCTACTTGGCCATCTGGTCCGCCCATGCGTAAGTGGAAGAATTGCTCTTACCTACTTTTGAAAGATACCCTTAGAGTTTTGCTATATCAAAGGCTTCTTCTTCTAGACCTAATTTGTTAGTCTTTCCAAAGTACCATAGAAGAGATCAAAATATCTCTCTATTGTAAAGAAGTGATGTCGTTTTCTCACTACCTTCTAAACTATTCCCTTTTGTGCATGAAAACCTTAGAAAAAAATTACAAATTCATTTCCGTCCTATAATTTGATGCGCAAATTGTGGAACCTACTCTGATGGCGGACGGATCGTAACGATGGCGTTGAAGGTACTCGTTTACTTCGTTCATGTGGAGGATGCGATCACCGTTGCAGTCCATGCGATTGAAGAGCTCCACCAGTCGCTCCCTCCTACCAACATCGTGACGTCGACGCAGACGGGAAAACATCACAGCGTTTGAATCTAAGGCAGAAGGTGGGTTCAATTGGTAATGCACAGAATTTGGTTAAAACTTTGTATAAGCAAATTGACATTTAAGGCTCTGCAAAATAACAGCTAATTTTGGACACAGGATGCTTAATCTTTATTAGGGGAAGAGAAGTAATTTTTGGACGAGAGAAGAGTGGATGCACCTTTCTCAAGACCACCTGACGATGAAGTGAGATGGAAGAATGGCTCTTCGCCCCACGCGTTGTAACGCAGTTGCGCAGTTAACGGAGCAACCAAAAGTACACAGCGCAAAAAAAGTTACAATTAAAATAAAACAAATCGCGACGTACCTCACAAAAGATACCTCTTTGACGTTTGCAGACAGAAATGATGCGGATGAAGACGCAATGTGGTTTATGTAGAAATGGGAAGGAGATTTGAGGGTGTTTCCTGGTCTCCTGCTTAACTTCATCTCCTTTATATAGTTGGGAAATTTTTTGTTGCAAAAGGGTGGTGTTTAAAGGTCACAGGAAGCAATCCCCACGCAGTGGTGGATAGTAGAGAAACTTTGCAACTTGAAAATGTCTTCCACGAAGTGCTTCGTTAAGAGGCCATTTTCCTTCTTCATGCTTAAGTAGTGCCTTGTGGACCAGACAGGTCTTAGGCGTAAAATTCAGTTAATAGTTAGACAGTTTCGTGCAAGAGCTTGGTTTCGCCGTCTTTCTTGCTGACAGTTAGTCAGTCAGTGAGTCGATGAGTGACCAGTCGAAATGTGTAAAATAAGACAAGCGGGTGCCACCTCTTTTGCCGATAGTTAAAAATTGCGTTCCGCTTTTGGGGCCATTTCGGACCTCGAATTGCTTCGTCTTGCACGTCACTACACTTGAGACCGCGGAGGCGAGTGATGTCAAAGGAAAGTCCTCTCACTTAGGCCACAAATTTTTGACCCTAAGAATGACATTTCTCATGGGCAATTGCGTTCACATTTCCCCACACTCAAAACGGACACGATTTTTTCGATGCGATGTGTTAACAATTTCGGATTAACGATTTCAAAGAAAACGGACAAAAATATGCTTCGAAAGATAGCAAAGGCCTTTTAATCATTTACTGTACAGTCACCAGTCATTCCACCAATGCTCTCAATTGCCCTTCCCTTCAAACCTGTTTGTTGCGGTTGATGCAGGTGTAAACGCCCTTTTTTCCACCAAGACACGCTGCCATTAACACTCAGAGGAGGCTTTGGCAAGACTCAAGAGTGCCAACTGGCCTGTGTCAACATCCCTTCCCTTCTTCCCTTTTAGGCCCCATAATGACCAGAGGGTCTTTCTCATAACATACCCAACTTTAGAGACTAACGCTTCTAGTGGACGGACATGATATTTGCTTGACAAATTCATTAAAGCGGCGTTTTACGCTGTTGCAAATAAAAAATTCAAGTCGTAATGCCGCAAATCTGATTCGTCTTAGTATGAAGCTAGGCTTGAAGGAACCAACCATATTTAAACTGGGTGAAAAAATTCAAAATTTTTTTAATATCCTGTTTTATTTTCTTCAATAGCAAGACACTGCCTCTCTCTCCCACTCCGACGTTGGGCCTGTGAGACGGTTTGATCAGAAGTGGTGGCGGCAGGTGAGAGGGAGAAGTTGGGCTAGACTACACCCTTTACACTCTGCACAAATAAGCGTCCGCTCTTTACCGCATGCTCGAGGGCATAAATTGATGTTGTGCTATGGAGCAGAGACTGCATGCCCTTGACTGGTTTTCCTTGACAAAAGTCAGGAACTCGGCTTCACTTATCTCCCCATCTCTGTTGGAGTCCAGTCGTTCCAGAAAACCCTCCACATACTCCCTCGGTAGGGTTCCAATGCAGCCTTCAAAGAAGTTGTACAGCTCCTTTACACTTACAGCACCCGACTTGTCTGCATCGAGGAGGCGAAAGAGAGATCGAGCCATGTCCTCATTTCTACAAGGAAAGAGGGTTCCGATTTCCTCTCAAACCACTCCTTCCAACCCACTTAGTAAACTTACTGAAGATTTTGGAAGAGGTAGGCAAGAAGGCCGTTACGGTACTCCTCAAATGAGATCTTCTTATCTCCATTTTGATCATATCTCTTAAAAAAGCACTAAAAGATTTCTTGGAGGTTAAAAATAAACAATTTTTAAGCACTTGAATGGCACACGCATGAACTGGATGTCCCTTAATAAGAGCTTTTAAATCAGCCTCGGTGATGAAGCCATCACCGTCGCGATCCAGTTCGCTGAATTGCTTCCGCATGAAATCGCCACGCTCAAAGAGGTTGGTCATGACTGTTCCTCGAGTTGAACTGGAGACGAGATACAAAAAGAGAGCAGCCTCTTATAGAGGCTTGGCTTAGTACTTTACACATCGTAGATGCAGCTCTCAGCAGCCTTGACCGAGAGACACGCAATTAGTCTTTAAGTGCGGATGAGAGGGGTGGCTGAGGCGCAGATTTGACCGCAGGAGGATGTACTATGCATAACCTTCCTTCTCCAACTAGCGAAGGAGTCATTAAGGACTTTTGAAGACTTTTTCTCTCTTCTCTTATATTTTACGTCTTCACAATTTGCCATCGCATTGTAGAAAGACGCATTTCGCCTCACACAGTTGTGACTGTGCCCCGGCCTTGGTGTTACAAATGACTGATTCAGTTGTAAGGATTCAGTTGCTGTAAGGAGGTGCTGTGCCCGACTCATGGTCATAGGAGACCGGTGACATCTGCGCGATAATGTGGGCTCGCGCTGCCCAGTAGAGACCTTCGTTCCCACTGAACGCTACCTTTGAGTTAGCTTTTAAAAAACAGGCTCCGACTGCATACATAAGGCGTTTGGCAGAGATTTCCTGACTAAGGTCGTGCAGCACTCGACATGATGATGTGATGCTGTGACCCCAAGAAGGTTCGAGTGATGAATGGATGATGTGGCGAAGGCATCGCTCACTACATGTTAGTCAAATCACCAAAAGGCAACCCACTTTATTACTCTCCCTTTGCAAACTTATTCAAATCGGAGACTGAGATTTACTTTTCTTTCGGATATTTGCGACTTTACATCACAAAAGTTTGTGTTGACACGAGCACCTTTCACGGCCATCAATTTGTCTCCCCAATTTTCTCGACGCAACCTTCACTAATGCTAAGTTAACAAAAGAATTGAGTTTGTAGATTTCTTTTTTCTTCGAATTCACGATTTCTCCACTTGACTTCGCTACCGTGGAAATGTTGACTTCGTTTTTTTTGTGGTTGACGTACTTTTTCTAGCAATGCCTGAACAAGTAAAATGGACGTCTACTTTTGACTATCTTCTTTCTCATCAGCCGACAGTGTGGTGGAGTGGACGCGAGATGTCGGCGCCGTCGATTTCAACGTTTTTTTTTCCACCTTTACAAAAGTTTGTCTACTTTTTTTTGCTTCGTACGATGGTTTTGGAGGATAAAACTGATCCACTTACTTTCAAATGCTCTTCCAAAAGGTATAAAACCTTTGCATTAAAATAAGGATTTGACCTCCCGTAGTCTCCAACACTTGCTATTATGACTTCCCATCTCTAAAAAAAGAACATTTTCTTTCCTTGTCGGCTGGTAGTTTTGCAATCTCTGTCATCCCTTTCGAGTACACAGTAATGTGAATGAGATGCTGTTGTTTGTCGCCCACTGTTACACCTTCAACTTTGTGCCACAACCATAGCCGTGAGATGGAGATTGCAGGGAACCGCTAAGTGACGAGAGCCAAGCCTCGTTAACTAATGGCGAGGAGACTGAGGAGGTCTTGCATTATCGCTTAAGCCCTACTGCGTCAGGTCGACACTCTCGATACGGACGCAGGAGGTTTGTTTAGCACGCGTGTGACGGGGATGGACACCGGCGGTAGGGGGAGGAGGAGGAGGAGGAGGAGGAGAAGACTAAACCGTACTGCATCAACAGGTCCCCCACATGCATGTACTCGTGTTACCACTTCAAGAAGGTCGTCAGGTCAACATGCGGCATGAAGTGCAACGATTTAATAAGGCGACTGAGTAAATATTGTAAGCATTGCAACTTTGCATGGCGAGTGGACT